GCGTTAGGAACAACACGGGTCAGTTGAAGGCATAGAAATCACTGTGTTACATTAGCAGAAGCAATGACAACTTGATGGAGTTGGAAGWTTGGTTTCCAGCCTGGCCACGTCCCATAACACCGTGGCTATGACACACAGGAGTTGCTTCGGAAGCCCTGCAGCAGCAATTCCAGCTTGGCAAGTGTCAGCGCAGAGAAAGGCCTAGGCATTTTCAGTGTCAAAGCCTTGGCTTGACCTAGAARGAGCTCTCTGGAGCTGGAGTCCAGGAGAATAGCTCAAGCTGAACAGAACCTGGAGGTTAAGACACCTGTATCCTCTTGTTCCCCTTTTAATCCTGCTCCTAGATGAGGCAACCAAGTGGTAGCAATGATAGGCAAGCCTAGAACGACAATCCCAATCTTGTGCCTCATGAAAGGTTCAGGCTGAGGCTGTTTTTCTCTATTTGTACTGATTTGTTAAGTAGATTAGAGGAAGAAAAGAAGCACTGGAGATCCCCAGACCAACTGTGAAGGAATCCCACAACTGGCAYGATCAAGAAGTTGGACTGCAGGGCAGAGAACAGGCCAAGCTCTGTAGAGATCTRCAAGGTAGAGACAAGACACACAGGAGTGGAGGTGCCTCCTCCTCTAAGAGGTCCAAGGCACAAAAAAAGCAGAGTCCTTCCCCTGCAAACAGGGGAGGAGAAGAATAAAAGGAACTGCAGAGTTACTGAGGCTGTAAGCTGGCTAAGCGTCTTGCTCCCAAGTGAAAATTCCTCCCGTTCACGTTCACATTTAGAACTAGCCCCAGACAGCTGCTCCCACTTCCTTTGTCCAACTCTTCAAACACATAAGAAACCTTTCTCTTTGAGGAAAAGAAAAAAAAAAAAAAAAAAGGCAAAAATCTGTGAAAGAATCTGCAGATAGAAAGGAGACCTTTGGAAAACACCCCATGCAAACAAGCATCCCTCTGCCGGCACAAAGGCGGCCGTGCTTTACAGCAGGACGGTTTCCAATATTTTTCCTTCTCTGTTCAGCTGAGGGATTTCCTGTCCTCCATGGCAACAAGGCCGCRTTTACCGAGGGCGGCCGTGCCAGCAGCCTCGGCAGCGGCGGGGGAAAGAAGTCTTAAAGAGGCCCTGCCTCTTAGCTCAGGCTTCCAGCTCGCGGACATCTTCCACAGCYGTGGCCCAACACCGCTGCTGGAGAAAAGTCACCTTCAGGAAGGAGGTCACCGACCACCTAGGTAAGGATTAGCCCTCTCTCTAGCAGGAGAGGCCTACTGGACAAGCACTAAAGATGGCAGAGCCAGGGTAAACCACCCCAGCAAAGTCTCTCCTCTCCTCCTTGCCATCCTCTCTCATGCTGCTCCAGGAACACAGAAGTCCCTACCTAACTCAGACCAAACCTGCAGGATTTGGGGGCTTGTTTGGGCCAGTTTTGGGCCGAGTCATGGGTGCAAAGATGAGGGGCAAAGCAGAGAGGCACCTGCAAGGCATTTCAGACCATCAGGACGTCACCAGCTTCTCGGCAGAAACTGATCCACAAAAGGGACCCTAAAAGCACCTTACACTGAGAGGTTTSCCCGTGCTGAAGCAGATGTGAAGCAGTCCCACTAGCATTGATTGCATCCCCCTAAAGAGCAGCAAATTGCACCAAGGGACAGTCAAACTACAAATCAAACGCGCATCTGACCACTTCCAGAAGCGGTAGATCAAAACAGCAAGGGACCTAGCGCAGGATTTCAGAGCCCAGCTCAACTTTTGGCTCTGGCACAGATTCCCCATGGGCCAAGTCACCTTTTCCACACCAWCCGAATCCCCTCCGCCGCAAGAGAGGGAGGCCCCATTCCTGTCTCTCTGTTCACACTGCAAAGTTTCCCCTAGCAGGGATTATTTTTAGCACCAAAGCACGAAAATCCAGCCCAGCTGGACTCTGATCTCAGCTAAGCCTTCTCCTTGGCCTTGTAATATAAAAAGCAAACAAAAGGTAAGGCTACGTCTGCACCAGGGCTCAGCCTCTGAATGGTGTTTTACTAGCAGCTGAGCCACAGGCCTAGTGAGCAGTAAGTTCCTGGTCTACAACTAAAGTCAAGCAATGGGCAAGTCTTAAAAATGGATTGCCAGTGTACGAATCCATTCCCTGGTGACCTGTGAGCTGTGAATGGACATGTTTCTAATGCAATGCACATAGCCCACTGCCACCAAGATGACACAGATATGTTTTTCCTCAGAAAAGTGCAAGCTGAAATAACTTTCAACTGCTCTCTCGTATGTTTTATTTTTCTCAGAGAAGCACTGAGAATCATCCCCAAGCATGGGCAGCTCTGCAGAGCTGCTTCACAGCATCGCCAAGATTTTCCTCTCAAGCTTTTGAGAGGGACTGGAAGTGCTGGAGACGCTCACAACGGCTACACAAAACATCTTCCCAGTCCCATGTTTTGAGAAATTCATGTTTGCTGCTATCAGAAACATGGCATATGGCTCCAAAACCATTAGAGATCAAGGCCTTGCATCAGAGTAGCTATAAAACATGTAATTGAGACAGGATGGAGTAAAGAGGAATTGAATAGATAGGGAGAAGGTTAAAAAAGAAGTCATGCTGAACCTTTAGTCAAAGCATTTTCTCAGCTGCTATCTCAAGATGAATCACGCTGCAGCTGAAGCTGTTCCCTCTTTCAGGATCAGGGCTTTCATGAGAGGTTTTCAGGTCAGCCAGGGCCACAGGACCACTCCGGGGACACAAACCTGGTGGTGACTAGGACGAAGGGTCCGTGCTCACAGCTTTTCCAGGCACCCTGGGTCCCAAAGGCACAGCTGCTTTTCCCTACCCACTTCACCAGCAGCAATGCTTCTTCCTGGAATCAGTAGCACTTGAATGAACAAGGGCAAAGCTGGTTCCCAGCCACAATTATCCCATATCCAATTATCACTGACTCCAAGTGCAACCCTCAGCTGTTTTTCCCACCACAGAGACTCCTGTTTTAGCAAGCCTGACTCCCTGCAAACTCACCCTACCAAGACCACAGCCTCCTGCACCCAGGTACCCCGCTGCTGCTCCTCCCAAGCTCACACTGCAATCCACATCCACCTTKCTGCTCTTGGCTTGATACCTACCTCAAGTGCACCACACACCTGCAGCACTCAAGGGCCCGGATCTGGCCCCACAGAGCAAATCCACTGCAAAAGTCATCTTCACTCCTCTGCAAGAAGAGCTGTGCTAGTGCTCTCTGAGGACAAGAATCTCTTCCACGCTCTCCAGGCAGCAGCAAGTGCCTGTGTCAACAGTACTAGAGCTGCATAGCTTATAAGCCTGTGTAAACTTACCCAAATGTTAGTTTTCTCTGACCTTATTCAGCTGGACAGAAGAGAGATGACGAGCAGGAGACCTGATGTGGAAAGCCACCCGTAACAACCACCACCATCAAAACAGAGAGGCTCATGGTTATTCTCCAAAGCCTGTTTGCAGCTCGTAAGTCAAGGCAATATGCTTGCAAAAACAAACCACTTTTTGGATGCAATCAGTATTTTTTAGCCTGAAGAATCAATCCTTGTTTGAAGCATTCAAGGAACTGCTCTCATCCCTGCTAGCCCTTTAAAAACAAGTCTCTGCAATATTAATAAACAAATAAAAAACCTCACTTACTGTAACAACACATCTGTACTGACCTTTGCTCTGCTAAGGTGTTATTCCAGGCCGTTCTGTAAGGGAAGYCAAGTCACATTACATTAGTTAGAAAAAAGGCATTTTTGTCCTTCCCTGTGAGCAGACCCCTCATATGCAGCTGTTTAAGGCTGCAGATTTCTCCTATGGATCTACATACACTTGGCTGTCAAGGGAGACACTGGTGCAGGGAGCAGCTTCCCAGCACTTCACCACAAGGCAGCGTGAGGGCAGCTCTGCTGCTGGTGAAGAGCTCTCCGAGCCTGCCACCCACTGGCCTTGCTGGAGGAGCCCTGCTCCACCGGGAGCTTTTTTGCCAAACTGACTCATTTCAGCCAGTGAAGTTGACCGCAGTGCACTCTGCAGGCAGAGCTGACACGGAGCACCTCCCTGCAAGGCAAGTTATGGGCAAGGACTGCTTTACAGTGACATGTTTCACAGGCATTTTGAGCTGGCTTTGCAACATCAGGGCAAAACTGTAGTTACAGCCACAGAAAAAAACACAGAGGACACTTGGACCCTGAGCAAATCACATTTTAGTCCAAGTCAGGCTCTATCAACAACTTAGAGTGACCAATCTAGAGTTCCAAGAAAACAGATTTCTTGCTTCAAGGATGTCGCTACCATTGCCCAGGAAGCTGCCAATAGCCTAAAGTGCTCGTTAAGATTCAAAATGCTACTTCTCCTGTTGCTACACAGCGTTTTTCTGAAACCAAGGCTGATGCTGATGAGACATCTGACACCAGAAACTGTTCCAACTGATAGGGGAGTTGAAGCAGTTGCCTGAACCACAGTGCCTGGCCTCACTACCTTTAAAGAGGTTCAGCTTAAATGGTAGACAGGCAAGAGCAGTGCTTTAAAATTCAAGTTCAGACAGTCATAGGCTGCTAGCAGGAGGTATCAACATTGACAGAAATAAATGAAGTATCATAAAGCAGTCTGAAAGACTGAAACTGAAAGGAGCCAACCCCTTCGGCCATCTCAATGGTTCAGAAAACTTTGGTTTGGCTGCTGAAAACTGTATCATAGCAAATAGCAGCTTGTAACAGTTGCTCAGAAAGAGCAGCATGAAATATGGGGAAAATGTGCTCATTCCAATCCCAATCCAAGAGCATCCTATTGAGCAAGTCATACTTCATGTTCACACTTCATGTTCACAGTGAAGAGCCCCAGCTGAGGAGTAATTTGTGATACTAATTCCATGTCAGAAACCTCAGTTTTATTTTTCATCACACACACAGTCTTGTCATAGAGGCAGAGCATGTAGTATCAGACATCTTTATTTGCTGTATTGCCCAAGTGTACAAATAGCAAATGTACTTATAGAAATCCAAAATAGAGGGTAGTAGAAATCCAAAGTGGAATGTTAAGATATTTWACTTTATAAAATTACTAGGTTTATACAAGCCATTCCCACTTGCAAGTTTCAACTTGATCAGGGCTGTGAAGAGACAGATTGCTTTGTGACCCTTCAAAGGGGCCTTCTCAGGAAGACACCTTCCACTAGATGAAGGGTCAGTCAACAGCAAAGTGATTCCTTACACTGGACTCAGTTTGAGTTATCAGCCAAACAGGATGTTAGCTACATCCAGACAATTCATATGCAATTCAGCTCATTGACCCCCACAAAGTCAAAACATCACTATCARCGTGGTTAAGAATTAGTTAAACAATCTCAGTGACAATATTTATTTTTAAGCTAATGAAGTCAAGCCAATAAGTTTCCCCTGGCCATTGAGTGCAATTGATGCTTTTTTTTTTTTCCCCTTCACATTCTCAGAAATAAGGTGCCTTAGTTCTTGAACAAGTCAATGCAGCTTTGCAGGAGAGAAACATTGTTCTGGAAAGGAAGAGAATTTATTTCAGACGAGTACGACTGAGGACCTAAACACTGCCTTCCAGAAAAGGAACAAGATTTCAAAGCAGTTGGCCCATCCCAAGATTCTGCAGCCTAACTACAACTGTTTGTGGAAAGGAAGAGTATTATTATTATTATATTCAATTAAAGTGAGCCACAAACCAAGCAGTATTGCCAAGCCATTTTTATGCCACTCAAGCCTAGGACTGAAATAGCTACCTGTAATGTAACGCAGTTCTGGGAGACCATAGCTCCTGGAGGGGAAAACTAGTCTTTCCTTCTGCAAGGAAAGTCTCCAGCACTCACCTGTGAGCTGCCAGTCCCTGCACTACAGCTGACTGCAGCTAATGCAGTGGCACAAGTGTGAGCTCCTGTTTCCCAGCCCAGTCCATCTGGAAGCAATCAGGAGCCTGTCATGAGGCTTCTCCCCCATCTGCTCAGGGATGCCACATCACTGGTAAGCCAGGCAAGAGGAGTGGGCAGCTAAAGCTGCAGGGGAACAGCACTTTGGGGGATGCTTGAGGCAGCAGGTCCTCATACTCAGAAGTCACATGCCACAGTTGGGGTTGGACCACAGACAGTCAAGTGAGATATTGTGCACTGCTTGCAAAAAGGAGGAGACCGATCAAGGAGCTGGTAGGGCAACAGCCTGATGTCCTAGAAATGACAGGTCAAAGACAACTGTCTGTACAAGAGAGGTGAGACTGTCAGCACTTTTGTGCATACTGTATCTAACAACTTTTCACTTTTTCCTTCATCTTTTTGTCTCTGCTAGCAAGCCTGGCTGCTCTATTTTAGAGCTAGGAAATGAAGTGAAAACCCACCAAGTCTTAAGTTACATATTACTCATTCCCTCCCCTCGCTCCAAGTCATGCTGTACCTGTTTACTCTAAAAAGAGCTCACCTTTGCATGTTTTATTTCCAGTTCTGCCATTTCAATTAGGTTTTTGCGGAAAGCTGCTATTCTCTTCTGTTTGAAGCTCATCAGTTCTGGAGGGATGAAAGAACACATTAAGACAAGACCGATATACAAGGTAGTGATTGAAGCCTTAGCTTCGCCCTTGTGTTTCCCGAGTTCTCATTTAGTTCCGTAGTTATAGCATCTGACCAGAGAGGTTCAAGAGCTAGGCTTGCTGTTTCCAGCCAAAAACTGCAATATAGCACATGGCAAGATCAAGATCTCCCTTCAGCAGAGGTGCAGCTAAGCTTGCTTTACCTTGTTTTGCAGATTCTGAAATCTTTTCAAACTTCTGGCAACAGTCCTGTTGATGTGCCTCAGCAAGCCTGACATCCTTGCTCTTTAGTCTAGCTTTGTCTAGAGCTTTGTTGGAGTTCTCATAATCAACAAGAGCCCTWGTACGCCTGTACAAAAGATCCTGAAAACAGACAGGAATAACACATTATACAGCCTGCAGGAAGAGAGCTTCCCAAACAGAGGTTACATCTCCTCTAGCCAGAGTCAGTGTCACTTTTCGCAGCACGAGGTGTCACTTCCTCCAACAAACTGTAACTTGTCATACTATTAGTGTGTCAACAGCAGCCTTTACGAGCACAATATGAAGTGGGATATGRTGGTCATTTATACTTTAGTCAAGAAAACACACACAGTCTGAGGGCATCACTTCTTCGCCATTAAACATCCTTCTTGCTTCTATAAGGAGAATCTCTCCACTAAGAGGTAACAGATTTCTGAACTCCCACAGTCTGCATTAAGCAAGGGGCCCATTGCTATGCATTGAAGGSGTGGCAGTTTGACTGAAGTACTGTGTTAGCATAGACACTCAAGTAGTTTGGAGGTCGGTGCTGATGCCTCTCCATCCTAGAGGAGGCCTGGCCTCCGTAACTAAGTGGCAATGCAGCAAGCAGGCTCTGATGTGTACCCCAGAACATGCTCTGTAGAGTAGCCTGATTAAAAAGACTATCAGATTTCTCTATGCATTTCTCACAGCCATCCCTCTGCCAAGCATTGATTAGAGGAAGAAAGCTGCCATGAAGTTATCTGCAGTTACATCAAGTATCAAGCCCTTGTTAGAAAGGACCACCTTCCCAAGTGGACATAACACCTTGGGTTTCCYTCAGGATCTTTATTTAGTCACCAATAGGTTTACTAGGAACCACGTAMCTTTCCATATTCTACCATAAAACTGAATATTTGTGAGCACTTTTTTTTTTTTTGAAAGGGCTCCCCTTACCTTAAAGCCTGTAAATGACTGCTGTAACAAGCCATGATTTCCATAACAAAATGATGCTACAAAAAGGAAGACAATTCTCACCTTAGCAGCTTCTATATTGAGCATGTAGTATCTCAGCAGTTCAGAAAGCTTCAAGTCTTCATCAGAAGAAACTCTACTCTCTACTTTCTGCAGGAGAGATTAGGCAACAGGTATATAAGAGGAGATGGTGACATCCAAGTTTAGGGGAGTTGGGGGGAAATAGGGGGTGTATGTTAATTTTCCCCTTACCCTGAGTTTCTCAAAGAGTTCTGCAACTTTCAACAAGTACCTAGAAAGAGYACACAGATTTCAGATATTTCCCTAGTGTAATGAATCCCAGGTTCAGCTATCAGGAAGCCAAAAACTTGAAGGCTATTGTTAATTTCTGCATATGATCCACACAAAGACTTCCAAAAAACTTCCAAAAAGGTCTAGACAGAGATCTAGCCAAAAGGTTTAGTGCAAGAGCTGCTGGATTCCAGGCCAACTGACTAGCCCTGCTGAGCAGCTAGACACCATTTAAAGTCAAGTCTTCCAGCTCCAGAGCATAATGGTCTTGCAGCCACCCTCCCACAACTACTCCCCTCCAGGAACAGGAGGCCACMCAGGCCCTCACCAACCTGGCAGCAAGATTTAGAGGCAAAACTCACCTCTAAACAGGTGAATGTTTCCATAGGTTAAAAATAAAAGCCACACTAGTCCAGAGGCCCACACTCAACAAGCTGCACAGACTTATTTAGCAGCACATTAGAACAGATGCTTAACCCCTCTCTCTGATATTCACCAGGAATTTGTAACCTGAATGAAGTTTGGGGAGGGAGAGAGAATTCCATTTAGAAGAAACTTGGATAAGCAATTTAGTGCAGCTCCAGAGTTCTAGGGAACAACTGGCAAGAGAGCAGTTGGTTAACACTGTTTGAGTATTACTAGTGCTGCCACACCAGTAGCATCAGAGGAAAGTTTCAAAACCACTTGCCTCCAATCAAAGAAATCCAAACCAGCTCTAACTCAGTCCCCTGAAGTTTACAGAAAGAACTGAAGCACAAACTATGGCATGAACAGTAAGCAGAACTGCTTACCTTTTGATAACTGTAGGCTCTTCTAATGCCAGACTGTTTAAACAAGCTGAAGTATAAATATAGTCATCTGCAACATCTGCAAAAACAAGACAAAATTTTCAGGCTACAGAAAACAAAGTCAGCAAGATTGTAGGTCTTCAGAAAAGCCTTTGAAAATATTCACTTTTATGAGATCTTGTCATCTTATCTGCCTTTGCACATGCATCCTTGATTCTGTTGTAGTAGTTTACAAGAAAAGTCTTCTCTTGCTCAAAAAAGTCCTCTACTTCCTGAAAGAGAGAAGGAGCTGTTAGATCAAAAGCAATGCTGCAAAACACAGGCTCTTCCTCCTTTAGGGAAGAGGCCAAAGAGGCCTTAGCCTCCCCAGTGTAGTGCCTGTCACATTTCTACTGAAGAGCAGAGCTCAAGACCCTGAAAATTAAGTCACATGGCAAGTATCTCCTTCATGATGAGGAGGGAGCTGACCCTCATCTCCTGTGCTGTAAGGTCAGCCTACAAGCCAACCAGCAAGCTGGTATTAGACAGTCTTTAGAGCTACCCACTGCTGGAACTTGATTTCCCAAGCCTGCTATAGCATGACACCTAAGCAGTAAACAAGCTTGTTTCACATCCACACCAAATACTATGTCCTGTAATGTCTTAGGACAGCAAGTCTATTATAAAGAGTAGGAGAGCAGAAGCTAGACCAGCAGCAGGGGTCCTTGGTATCCCATTTTACCTTGCACAAGCAGAAATCCATTGACCATGTTCGCTTAGAGCTCTGAAGTAGAGAGAAGCCACAAGCACATTTGGGGACAGTGGAATTCCCTTCCTCCCCACCAAGATCAAGGCAACGCTTGTGTGTCTARGAGATGCTCCAGATGTACAATCAAATTAAGCCTGTAGCTTTCCTGTCTCTCATTCAATTCCACACAAGGAAAGGTACCAGTAATCACTCCTGCACATCAGGGCTGCAGCAGGTGCAGCGAACCTCTCATGAAGCCATCAGGATTAGGGTGAACAAGCCAGTCAACAACCTCACCTTGACTCCAGAGAAGAGGACTTCATCTGCACTCTTCACTACACTTTTTAAAAAGCCACCAAACATCTCTTTGGTGTTTTTCCTCCGAACGCTTAGCTAGAACAGAGAAATCAAAACAGCTTTAAAGTCATCCATCATTGCAGTGGGAAAAGAGAGAGAGTGACTACCCTAACACTTGAAGCATAGCAGTGTCATTCATACCCAGCATGGGACAGAGCAGCCAGATGCTCTTAGTGATATCCCCTAACCCCCAAACTATTAAGATATAGCTCTTAAGAGAAGGCTTTATTGAAAGTTCAGCTGTTCTGTGCTGCAGGTATCTTTTCTATTTGCAGAAAGAACTCGGTTCCCACTGATCAGCATCCATTCATCATGGAGTGCAGCACAAGAAAGATCTGGTACCCACTCCAACACACCTCCATCTTCCCACTTGAAGGATAGTTCAGCCAGCACAGGTCTATCAGGCAATTATCTACCTACTGATAACACATGCAGATTTCTACAACATCCCAACCRCCCACAGAAGAGTGACAGCACTCCTGACACTTCGCCTTACTAAGGAAAGAAAGCTTCCTTACATCCTGGTCGTACTCCAAGAAAACATGAAAATTGCGATCTTTGCTGAGCACAGGGTGAGAAGAAATCCGCTGAAGGAATATTTCGTGCGAGGATACAGTCTTCTTGAAGACAGCAAGGTATTCACTGAAAGGCAAGAACAGACAGATCTCTTCTGTGCTGCTTTCTTCGAAGGATGGAGCATCRAATATTTCCCTTGAGTAAGTTTAAAGCAACAGTGTGCTGCTCAAATGGCTAGCTGGTGATGGAAAGCTACTTCCAAACTCTTCGGGAAGCTCAGCAGTTCCCCAATTCCAGGTTTTTACAAGTTGGATGAGTGTTTGTTCCCAAACAAACAGTTCCACTCAAGTGACTCTCCCAGGGAGCATCTCTAAAACACAGTTTTCAGGAGTACATTCATGTTCTACTTACGCTTCAAGCTCTTGCTTCATTTTGGCAAACTCTTCTTTTGTCATAGACACTTCACCTTCTCCTAGCTTCTGCATCTTCTCTCTGGGACCATCGAAGTCAGGCTTTGAAGGTGCTGGAGGTATCTAGTCAAAAGTAGTAGTTAGCAATAGTTTTTAGCATCCACAAGGATTTCCAGTTTCTCCTAGCCTTCTCTGGAAGGAGCCCTTCCACCTGCTCATGTCAAGCTCTACACTCAGGAAGTCCACAGACAGATTAATGCCTAGGCACCTCATTTCCCCTCCCAGCTCTGTGCAGCTGCCCCAGAAAGGAAGCAATCCCAGAGCAATCACCAACACTATTCACCCCTAACCAGCTGGCCTCTGCAGCCTACAGAGCCTCCTGAGAAGCCTTGGCAGGTGAAAAGAGATTTAACAGAGCAGTTAGACAGCAATATACCAGCACGGAGCTGGGGACCTTCCGAGCCTCTTGGCTTTATGCTGATGTCAGCCAATCCAAACAGAAAGTTAATACAGAGCCACATCATTTAAGTTTTCTGGGAGCCAGGGGAAGCTCCATCAGCTTAAAGAGAAGCACAGGGACTACCCAAATCACAAAACACTAGTAACACTGGTAAAAGAGACTTCACGTCCTTACTGATTTCTACTTTAACTCACCAGGCTATTTTGTTTAAGAGTCAAAAAGAGAGGAAAAAAGCATAGACTTACGATGAGCCCTGCATACTCTTCAGTTTCTGTGAGCGTATCGTGCAGCCATACAAAGTCCTCATGCTGTCTTGTAACTGAAAACTCTGAATTTTGAAAAGCTGGCAGCGTAGTCTGGAAGAAAAGATATAGAAGCCCTACTGTTTTTAAATTAGTGCTTTTAGAAGCAGTTCTGTCCATTTCCAAAGCAAGCTATTTTGCTTAGCAAGAGCTTTGCCTACTCCCTTTTAGCTGAGCTGGCACTCACTCAAAGCCCTTACTACTACAGAGGCTATTTAAAGAAAAGGCAGTGCTGTAGAGCACTATTAATGCAGATCCCTTTGTGAAGTTCTACTGTAATYGTTTCCCCCTCCTCCCCATCCTTCTGGTCTCAAGCTAACACTTGTTTGGCTTTACTAAGGAGTCTATCAGCTACTTCGTCTATTCACAGAATCACAGAATGGTTAAGGTTAGAAGGGACCTCTAGAGATCACGTAGTCCAACCCCTTGCTCCAGCARGGACACTCAGAGCACGGGGTGGCATCCAGGTGGGTTTGGAAGGCCTCCAGAGAAGGAGATTCCACAGCCTCCCTTGGCAGYCTGTTCCAGGGCTCTGTCACCCTCACACTAAAGACGTTCTTCCTCACATGGAGATGGATCTGCCCGTGTTGCARCTCACACCCATTGCCCCTTGTCCTGTCACTGGCCACCACTGAGAGGAGCTTGGCCCCTTCCTCCCTACATTCCCCCTTCATTTAGAGAAGGTTCAGGTCAGGAAATCCAGTTTCTACACATACACCCTCAGGCCACCTTTAAATGGCACAACTCTATGTAACTAGAGCTGGATTTTCTTCATTGTCAGGTTGATGTCTGCAGGTATATTTAATACACAAACATAAGTCAACTGTGTATGAACAGTATTTTCTGCCCCACAATCTTACCTTGGTATGTACAGTGAACTTCACCCGGTCCTTTTCACTCAGGGCATCTGGTATATCAATTTGGAGAGAAGGGTCAACATTCAGGTCGACAGACACGGACCTCAGCTGCAACAGAATTCACAGTACAATTCACAGTGTTTTTTCTGACAGAARTCTTCTGACTGAAAAAACAATACCTGGAGATCATAAAGGTATTTGTGAAGTCTTTCTAGAAAAGTGTTCTTTCTACCAGTCTTTCAGCTTGTTTACTTGGAGCTCCTCAAGCCAAAGCCTGGTGTGTTGTTTTAAAGCCATTTTCCACCCTAATAGCTTATCCTTCATTATCTCTTGCCTCTGCAAGATCCCATGGAACAGCTCCTAAGAACAGTCTTGCCATAAAAGTGTCCTCCTGATTAGGCTGGTTGTGTTCGAATCCACAGCAGGATGAACTTTTACCTGCTTTTATGCACTACAGACAAGCCTGATACCTCCCTTCAAGCCCAGCTTGGTCATTTCTGCCATTCTGATTTCCCAACACAGCTCCGCATGAAGCAAAGTCCCACCACATCCCTTCCAGGAGCTGCTGTGTCGGCTGCAAAGGCTGCGTTCCTCCTGACCTCATCAAAACATGACAGTTTCACAAATTCTCTTTTCAGGTTCCTATACAGGATTAAGTAAAACACAAAAAACACTGTTACAGACAACTCTCCAAAACCCAAATACAACGTGGCACAAAGATTGCCTGTGTTAATCTTATTTTCAGGTTATCAAGCATATCAGTTATCAGCAGTACTCACTACCACCAACAAACTTTTGTTTAAAGAAAGCTCCACTAAACTGAAGTAGAGATCAGTTGCTGCCTATCAGGTACATAAAGTCACCTCAGTGATATCCGAGCTCTGCTTTACAACAGCTTTTTATGTTTCTTGTAGCTGCAAGTCACATCTCCTCGATTCAAGTCTTATCTTTCCTAGACAGATCTTTGTGTCTGGCAACATTTTAATGCTATTTGCCTCCAGCCRGAATAGCAAGGAGAGGTTTTAGAGCATGCTATGTCAGACCTTCACAAGAGACCCCAGTTCAGTAAGACCAGACTTGCCTTTGCAGGGTTTGGGGCATGAGAAGCTCTGAAAAGAGCTCAAGGTCACCACGCAAAGCTTGTTGAAGAGCAAGTGAGCTCAGCTGAGTCCCAAGGTTATTCTTCAGAGATAGTTACAAATATATTCCCAGGAAAGGAAGCTAAAGAASCAGGTCATACCTGCACCTACCACCCGCTAACCAAAAGAAGTTAGCGAAGTCACCCCACATGCAAATACCTCAAGAGCCTGCTAAGCAATCTCACCATAATGGAGAGCTTGAATGCTGCCCTAAGCTTCTGCAAAGCGGTCTAAGATCTGCAGGGAAGTGGCCCTTCATTCCCCAAAGCTTTGGGAGCTCCCTCGCCCTTGGAGTTGCCATCTGCACTGCAATCCCAACGAGGAGGCCGAGGCTCAGGCTGCAGAGGGCTGAGCTGTCCGGGCTCGTGCCTCTTGCCGGGCACCTGCTGCCACTGGTGGTTGTTGCTGCCATCTCTGCCCAGGCTCCCCTGCTCTCGGGGGACGTCTCCAAGCTGCTGCACTCTCCTCCAGCCACGTTACAAGGGTTGCTCCCCTGTGGGATACCAGCTGCTCACTGGTTTAGCACATCATTAAAAAAAGTTCGTACCATTTGAAGGAGAGAGCTATACACACATCCCTTTAAGCTTTATAATTCTAGGAAGCATTTGGACGTGGGGCTCCCTAGGCTGACTTGCATGGGAAAGGAGGCTTTAATTGTCCTCTGGGTACCAGCAGAAGGAAGGATGCAGAGCTCGAGCACCATCCCCAGCAGCCCAGGAGTTGCTCAGGTTTGAATGGATTCCCTGCTAAAGCCCCGGGGAGTCCAACTGTCCAGGTTCTTCCCTGCAGCCATCCCATGGGGAGCTCATTCCATCCACATGGATGTCCTCAACTCAAGCTCCATAGGAAGCCACGGAACAAAGGGCTCCATGCAGAGCTGTGCGCTTCAGAGAGGACCAGGTCAAGGCTGCCCTGTCCAGGCACTGGGGGCTAGTGAGAAGGCCACCACGCAAACACTAATCAGGAACACAGCAGGCTGCCGCCAGCTGAACAGCAGGTTCAGCATTTCCCAACTGCTACGACCTGCAGAAAACACCAGGAGGCAAAGCAGCAAAAGACAGACCCTCAAAGCAGGATGCAAAACATGGAGCACTCCCTATTTTGGGGTTACTTATCTTCACCGTCCAAACAGGGTCAGCAGGGCTCACAATGCGACTGCTGAGTCTGTGAGAAGCGTGATAAAACAGAGGAAGCTGCTTCCTCCCAGCCAGCCCAAGGGAAAGACTAGCCAGACAGTCCTAAAATTGTGAACTTTCTTAGTATTTAAGAGTTAYGGAGAAAGCAACTTGTAATTAGGATGTTCTCCTCTTCCTCTCCCAGGCCTGCTAGTTGTCTGCACAAGAAACAAGCAGGTACAGACAGCAACTGGTATTTCTTCTGTCAGATTAAAGCAGCCCGAGGTTCCTGGGCATTTCTTCCCAGGCATTACGCCTCTTGCTGCTGGGATTCACCRCAGTGTTGTCCGGCCTTCTGCTCTATGGGCATCTGGTCTTCAGTGACCATGAGGCAAAGGATGAGAAAGCCCCTGGTCTGCTCCGGAATCATTAAGGTGGCCACGAGCTCTAACTCCAGACAGGAGASATCTAGGATTACACAACCAAAGCAGCCAGGCTCAGACTACAAGGAGGGCTTTCATGTCTCCTGGCTTGGGCAGGACAGAGAGCTTTGTTTCCCCCACCGAAACTGTTGGCAGAGCCTCTCCCCACCAAGCAGGGAGCAGGTCCTCCCTCCTAATCAGTCCTAAGACACCAAACCAGCAAGCATTTAGAGCAGACCTTCTGCTCCAGGTCTTGATCAGGGCAAGCCTCTGCGCTTCCAGCACTCAGCTCATCATCTTCTAGCCTCTTTTACTTTGCCTGCCCTTCTGCATTCATTTTATAAGCAGGAACGAGAACCAACCTGCTTATGGTCACATTAAGTCAATGCAGAGCAGGGAAATTCGGCTTTCATCTCCAGGCCCCAGGCTTGTTTCTTCATCCCAGCAGGTAAGAGACCTTCTCAGAAAATAGTGTGGGGTTTCCAGTGCCTGTATCAGCTGCTACAGACACCCTGGTGCCTTTCACTTCTAGGTTCACATCTCCATAGTGCCTTGCATAAGAAACCCCAGGCTCTCTGGATGATTCAACAAAATCTTCCCTGCGAAAGACACTCTGTCCACCGTAACTCCTCCTTAAACTGCCCGACCAAGAAATTAAGCCAGACATCAAGCAGGGCCATCTGGAATAGCAGATGGCCACTGTACTCATGAATGTTTCTAGCATCAGTACTAGAAAACTAAGCAATGATGTCATSACAGACAGTCCATTTTTAAAAAACAGGCATCATGGCACTAATTAGTACACTTAAAATAATCACCTGACCTGAAAGTGCAGGCAGTGTTGCCCTGATCAATCCAGATAGTTTGACTGCCTAGTGCTTCTCTATGGATTTAACTTGAGCCACCTACCACTAATGCGGTGATAGACAACACGTCGGGCTTCAGCTTGGTAGATCTCCATTCTCCAAGCAAGTGTCCTCATGGGCACAAGCGCCCGCTGCAGGAAATGCCCCCAGCCACGGGGCTCAGGAGTGACCCGAAACTGCTGCTCTTAAGAATGCCATTCTTGACAATTTTAGCACCAGATAACCGGATGTTACTTCTGCATTTTAAGCAAATAAACTGCCAGCTCAAGAAACTGTTTAATCTCTCATTACCAGTGAACTAAAAAACTGCCTTTTCCTCAAAAATAAACAAAAAAGCTTAATCCAGCAGTGTTCTGCAGGCTGGGCTCCCAGAAGGAGCCGAGTCTCCTTCTRCAGGGGTTTAACAGGTCACAGAGTGCCCTGCTTGCAGCCAGCTGCCTTCAGCTCGCTCCCCTCCTGCTGGGGGCCTTCCCGTTGTCACTCAAGCCACAAATGACTCCAGCATTAATTACATCTGCCACTAGGCAGCATCCATCAGTTTCCATCCAGGGGCTTTTCTAATTAAACATTCAAATGCTCTCTAGAGAGTCCCTTAAAAGATCACAATGTTGTCTGGCAGTTGAGACACAGCTTCTAGGTTCAGAGTGCTGCAACTTTTTTGGTTTTTTTTTTCCTCCTGAAATCAAGACACGGACCGGCAGCCTTTCCAAAGTATCTGGCCAGCAGATATCAGTGATCCTAGTTGCTACAAKTTTTGCAGTCATTCAGAACAAGCAGCTTAATTTGCTCCTTGATCAAAATGCAAATATATATTTATACAGAGGCACACACTAGTATGTAATCAGCACAAATCAAGTTCTGATTTTGCAGCCTTCATGACAGACTTGCTGTTAACACTGAAGTTTAACCAAAGCAGTCCTGGAATGCACCATGTTGCATATAACCAGAAAAATCAAACAGGGCTCATACCTGCAGTCTTCATGTTGCTACTTACGCTGTGCCAAGCGTTTTCCCATACTGGATTTTTGGCTGCAAAACTGCAGTAAATTAATGGCTCGTTTTGCTAGAAATAAGGACTTGAAAGAAATAACCATGCAGTCGAGTAAGGAGACTACCTGCAGCACACGGGACACCTCCACCCAAGCCCATCATTTCCTCTGCTCTTGAGTCAAGCAAGTTTTGACAGCGCAGCCAGCCCCCCCGGCCACAGCCAAGTGTTTCATGGTCAGTTTTACCCATATCAAGTCTATTCTCTCGCTGTATTAACTCTGGACCAAATTGATAGGAAAGCATAATATTGGGCAAAACAAAAATAGCCAGTATTACACAAGCAAGCGTCTGCCTATGACAAGCCAGGCACTCCACAGAGACRGGGCATTTTTCTAATGTCCCAGCCGTCCTGATGTTTCTGACCCCACATCCTGCCTTCCCCTGGGTGTCCTAAGGCACTGAGGCTACAATCCTTGATCCAGCACAGCCCAACTGCAGGCTCGATTCTACAAAATATTATCAAGCCAGGGATGATTCAAGAAATACATACCAGTCTATCTGCACGGGCTTATCTTCGCAGCTCCACTCCTTGCTTCACTTTCCAAAGTGCCTTTTCCTCCCCATAACTGATTACACAGCCTTTCCCACCGCATTTCACACCCCCCTTTCCCCTACCCTCCCTTCCTCTTCCTACATATCCTGAATCTCATCTCCTTGGCTGCCTCAGGGTCACTTYTTCTGTTTATACTTACCAGGGATTCTCACTCAAGGTTAAGACCTAGCGAAGCCTCTTCCACGGGCACAGGATTTATCTCCTGGCCAGACACCAGTTCCAAGTTGCTGTTTCCTTACCTAAACAGGAACAGACAAGATAGCGATGCTGCCGTCCTCCCCGCAGCTGCTGGCTTCTCAAGAGAGCTCTGCTACCCCAGACAAGCTAGTTAACCCTTGCCCATGCAGCATGAGGGGTTGGAAGACATTCCAGCCCTCGAAATGGGAACTTTATCCTCTCTTCCTTACTAGTCYTGCCTGCTAACTTTAACACATTGATGCTCAAGGAGTCACCAATTGCTGTAAGAAAACTGAGATTACCTTTCTGACCGCTCATTACTTACAGGTGCTGCAAGTCTGCAGAGGACTCAATACACACCGGAGGGAGGTACTTGAGTTAATACCAATACTGGGGTGCTACCGAGCAGTAAGAGGTTAAGGGCAGGGGTCCACAGCTGAAAACAGATAACCACAAAACACCTTCACTCAACACATTCCTGACAGCACCAAGGGGCAAAGCTATTTCAAGAGAGATTCAATCCATAGAGCAGACAAGGGAATGAACCTGTTTAAGAAGCTACCTAAGGCTTGAGGACTCCCCATCCTCCAGCCAGACAACCCATTTTTTCCACAAGGAAGACCCAGACCGAGGAAAACACCACTTAAATCACCCACAGCAGCTCAAAACACGGGTTTTCAGCAAAAGTCACACCCAGACRCAACAACACACGGGCTCAGCCATCCACAAGGCACACGCTGCCTCTTCCCCACGGCGAGGGCAGCTATCAACCCCCGCAGAGCGAGCGGATCGCTGGGCCGACACAGGAACGGACCTACAGCCGCCCTATAGACACATACAGGCGAAGCGACACTCGAGGTTCCCCTTTCAGCTTCTGATTTGCGCTTTCCGCCCYCGCCGCAGAGCCCGACCCTGCCAAACACCCCACGCACCCCCACAGCCACGGGCGCCTCGGGAGGCACCGCCGCAGAGCGGGGCGGAACGGCGGCCTCGCGGGGACCGGGGCCGCTGCGCGCTCCCGCCAGGCCCCGGCCGCCGCCTCCGCCCTCACCTTGCTCTGCGCGTCCTCCCGCAGCAGAGCCATGTCGCCCAACCGCCGCCGGCCGCCCGCGCCGCCGCCTCGCCTCATATAGCCCGGGGCGGGGCCGCCCCACGCCCGCGCCGCCGCCGCCACACCCCCGCGCGCCGCGGCGGCCATCTTGGGTGAGGGCACGGCTCGCCCTCACCCAAGATGGTGGCGCTTTTATTGATTTATTCATTCATTCATTTATTTATTTACTTATTTACTTATTTATTTACTTATTTATTTACTTAATTATTTACTTAATTATTTACTTAATTATTTCTTTATTTTCTCGTTTTTCTGCGTTGTTCTCCGCTTTCGAAAGCTTTGCAAGAAGGACTTTTATAGGTCGAAAGAAGCGCCCCCTCTCACACACACACCTTCCCTCTCAAGCCCCGCCCCACTCCCCCTCACTCGGGGAAGGCGGTGGCGCCCCGCGGAGCGCGGTGCCTTGYGGGTAGCGTAGTCCTCGCCGGCGCGGGAGCGGGGCCTTGGGGCTGCCTCGCGGGCGGGGGAGGGAGGGCGCCGAACTACAAATCCCGRGAGGCCGTTGGAAGGCCGTTGGCCGTGGGGGCCGCGCGCGCATGCGCACCGGCGGCCGTGGCGGTGGCGGGAAGCGCCGTGCCGAGGTGACGGTTGGAGGTGACGGTTGATGCTCGTGGGGACCGTAGCTCGRGCGGGAGCCGGGGTCGGCCTCGGTATCGGCTTGGGCTCAGCGCGGGAGCAGGCCAGGGCGTCGGTCGCCCCGAGCTGCGAGGCGAAGCGGWGGCCGCTGCTCTGAGCGGGCCCGGGGGAGCTGGCGGAGGCCAGCGGATCGCCCCTGTTTTATTTAAACGTCTCGATTTTTTTTCCCCTCTTAGCGCTTAGTTTCTCCAAACAGGCCAGGCGTTTGTCTTCAACCTGCTATGCTGGCTGCCGTCTGAAACCGCAGCTGGAGGAATATCTTCATAGATGTGAGCACTTACTTAAGCAGTAACTTTCATTTCCCTCACTTAAGTCGCCCATTCCTCTCCTGGAGCGTTTATTGGAACTGCACCATCAACTAGACTGAGGAAGTTATGAGAAGTCTTTTTCTTTTACTTATTTATGTTTGAGATCAGTTCTGGTTCATTCTGCAGAACTTGGGCCAGTCTTAACCAGTCTTGGATCAGAAACGTTGTGAAGGAGAAAGGAGAAAGTTGGTGCGTACACTGAGATTTACCCATTCCGTTTTGTTCTGTATGCATGACAGTAGATCAAGATGCACACCCCCGTTTTCTCTTTGTAAATGTAAGTAGCTATCTGTATAAAAATACCACTGTAGATAACTACCATATGTGAGTTCTCGTTCCATTAGATACAAATGTTCCTTATTTCTTAGTAGTCCTGGTATGTCTTTCGCAASCTATTCTGACAGCTGTTGTAGCTGACAAACTACAAATTCACCCTTTCCTGGTCTGAGTTTGCAGCGGGTGCGAAGATTTCTGCAGATACTGCTCCAGAACAAAACAGGATGAGAACTGAAAATTCATACTGGATACCACTGAGGCAGAGTTTCAGTAATACAATCAAGTAGCCTAAGGGTTCATAATATTCTGCAACAAAAAACAAAAAGAAGAAAAAGATTAGAAAAAAAGTATGATGAAACATTTTGCTTGTGAGAGATAGAGGTCTGATGACAGTCTGTATTGTGCATGTAAGGAGTAATGTCAAGATGCTCAGAGCAAGAGCGGTGTTTGTGCTCGCCACTGAACACAGGGAAATTGGAACACAGGTGCAATGGCACAGAGCAACCTCCCCCTGGAAAAGAGAGGCAGATTGAGATTTGCTTATGGTTAGAAAAGGGGAAGTGACACATTGCAAGTATGTTGAATGGAAAGATTTTCCTGTTAAGTTGCCTAATTTCTCGTCTAAACATACTGCAGAAAATAAGTAGCAGGATTAAACACAGTAATTATTTGTGCTGTTTCTCTCTTCTGAACCATGATGTAATTTTAAAATCACTATTAGTTTGGATTGATAGGAATTGTAGTTAGAGAAAATCCTTAATGAAGACTTGAAGACAGATACTCATACAACAAGACAGCAAGTCAGACCTCAGAGCTCCTAGTACTGGATCAGAAATGCTGGTCTAGGACCACTGTTGTGCAATGCACAGTTCTCCCCCAGTATAACTGCATTTTCCAGAATGACTCCTTTTATCAGGGCTTCCAGGTTTTTGTTTGTTTGGTTGTTTTTTGGTATCTGCTGTTGGGGCAGAGCATGAATTGCTGGTGAGGTCATGTGGGGAAAGCAAAGTGTAATTTCATAGGGTTTTTAAGAACAAAAAGCTGATGTTAGCTGGCACTGTGCATGGCCTGCTTTGTGCTGGTTTGTTTTCTGTGCAGAGGCTGGAATGGAACTTTGCAATAGTAAGCAGATAGTTTTCAAAAGGAGAATAGGGCCTCAATTCTGCAAGTATATAATGTAGATTTAAATGCCACTTTTCGAATGTTTACATCTAACCCACATTCATACAATTTCCAAAGCTTTCAAGGGCAATTACCATATGGTTTTGCAAGCTATGCCATGAACAATAAATCAGGGAACTGTTCTTATCTTTAAACTTCCAAAGTGTCCTGGAAGGACAGAACTCCTATATCTGATGTTCAGTTTGGAAGAATACTTTCATGTATATTTTAATCTGATTTTAAAAGATTTATCTGAATTGGAAGGTGCTTGCTATGTATTCAGTACTTTGCTTTTCCTGAGTCTCAGGTCTTGCAATTCCAGAATGTACATAGTGCTGCTGTTTGCTTTCTCCTAGGTGTAACAGAGAAAAACATATTTTTATTCTCCAGAAACCACTTTGTCCCCACCATCCCTGTAATTTCAGCATAACTTAACTTCCTCTTGTTTTTACTATGTAAGAACAATAAATTTGCTTAATCTCTTCTGTGTGCCTTTTTTTTTCTCCCTCCCACTTTTGAGGGAAGTTGTAATAGATGAGTTTTTGTATCTCTTTTCATGAGTGTCCTCTGCTGCAGCTTTTGCTACTTGCAACGTCTTTGATGTTTTTGTCCTGTTTCAGTTTTTTGGCAACTAACATTTGTTCTTTTCAGGATCTTTTCTGCTTTGTTTCTTGGTTCTTTTCGTTAATGTTTTATTTATCTAAAGGATTTAGTGGCACTAAGTGTATGAAAGCACTTATGACCCTAGCAGATCTTTATTTGACAAAACCAGATTGATAGTATGGTTTTATGACTTGAAAATCACAATTTTTTTCTCCACAGGAAGAAGTTATGGTAACTTACAGAATGTTTTTGACAGAAGAAAGAAAACTATAAATACCCACAAATCCTCCGTTTCAGAATGAAATTCCTACAGCTACTGTCCAGAAGATCTGCGGGACTGGAAATGCTTTTTCAAGCATATTTGGGCCAAAACCAAGTCCCATATATGTGCCTGACTACTTCCACTTGCCTTTATAGTAAGAAGAAAAAAGTGAACGGTTATGAACACGTCGATCAAGAAAAGTACAAGAGTTTGGTCTATTCTGTTACATCTTTCAAAACCAACACTCGAACACCAGAGACATTATTTGAAGAAGATAATTTATTATATGGGCCGGCAGATAAACATAGACCTCCAGCTAAAAATGTTGAAACAAAAGCTCCAAAGAACTGTGTTCCGCTCATAAACCCCAACAAAAGAATTCTAGACAGTGGCTCTAATCTTCCCCTGAAAATTGGCTTGCAGAAAAACAAAATACCCAGTGTCACCAATATTCTTCAACAGACGATGCCTCCACAGCAAGCCCTTTACCTGGAAAAATGGAAGCAGAAAATGATACTGGACCTTGGGAAAGACGGTTTTGCTGAGTACACCAAGAGTAAGTGTAACCACATTGTGTTTACACAGTGGAATCACTAGCCTGGTAGCTGGGACGTGCCAATGTAGCTGCTGGATCTGGCCCTAGAAGTTCATCTGGGTTGGGTTTTTCCATCATTGGATTTCCATCCAAGGTGCAAGGGCCATAATGTAAGAGAAGGGCGCTAGTTACTAATGATCTGCTCTTTGTGCAACAACCACCAAAACTAATTTAGAATTTAGTGGGGAAACTAGAATTAGACTGTAGACATTCTTTGGTCTGTCCTACCTGCCTGTCCATTACTTGTCTATTTGCTAGAATCAGCAACAAATAGGTATTTCCAGTTGATYTGACTGAGCCTGTTTGCAGATGCAAATGTGTATCCTGAAATCACATCCTCCTGTGTGCTTAGAAAACTCCGTGCCTTGCTTTACATACTGAAGTAAACCCACTTAAGTAACTGTGGGTTTAGTATATGCAGCCTTTTCTATGAAATTCCATGCATTTAGGTGTTTTTATTTTATAAACCAACACAGCTGACTTCCCCCAGGCTGTCGGAGTGAAGACAGAGTGTTGCTAAGGTGATTGCCCTTGGGGAATAGTGGCAAGATTGATAAATGGCATAACTACTCTTGGCATAACTACTTATGCTTTTGCAAAGAGGATATGCTTTGCTTATGCTCTKTTTGAGTTACTAAGCACCTCAGTGAATAAGCTTCATAGGAAAGTGACATAGAAAATCTTGCACAGCTGTTTAAAATGAGCTGTCTCTGAATCATTTCTGCTTTAAGCCCTTACTCCTAAGAATTAGGTCCATCCAGTGAGGGAAGAAATTTGTTCAGCTTAGGTGAGGCAAAGCAGTAGGACTAGTTGATACAGCAAACAGTTAATAAGCAGCCTAAAATAATGTTTTTAATTCATAGAGATTGGCAAATGGCTTTGAGTTAGCRGGACATGAAAGGTCATGTTTTGTTCCTGTATAATTAGTGAGATTAAAAAACAAAAAAGGGATCATTAATATAAAAGATACTGATTTCACTGTTGGCATTTTTGTGTTTTGTTCCCCTCTCTTCCTTCCATCCTGAAGCTTTCCATGTGAAAAGGAGGTTTGGTTTGAGAGCTATGCTGTGTTACATTTAGTACACACATCCCTCAGGTATTACGAGTACTGTCTGAAATGTGGGGTTTTCTTGGCATCTCTCTTAGATCTTTTTCTCCAAGGGAATCTCTTTCATACAACTTTGGAGTCTATATTACTGTCTGAGGAGACGCCAGCGAAGGGGCAAGGAGAAGACTCTGCTGTTTCTGGCTACTTATCGAGTGTACAGCACGTTTTAAAAGATATCAGCGAAGTCAAAGCCCTGGAAAGTGCCGTTCAGCATGAGACTCTGCAGTACCTGGGCCTGGTAGACTGCGTGGCCAAGTATCGGTGAGAGGCTGGTTCTCCAAGAACCCCCCAAAATCCCAACACTGGCGTTCTGCGGTGGGCAGAAGGCGTTTTCCAAGCTGAAGAGGGTGTGTTGGTAGCTCTGGGGAGCAAGCTGGGAGGASTGCTGAGAGAGGCAGAAGGGATGAGCTCTGAGGGGAACCTGGTGTCAGAAACACCGCTGATCTTTGGGGAGAATGCCCATTGGAGAGGGGAGTGAGCAGGGTAGGCTTAAGCAAGACTGGGGTGAGAGCAGGTTTCTTTGGTGCCATGTCTTCTTACTGGAACTTCAACACGGTCCTTGTCCAACGCTCTTGTGTTACTCAGAGGCCAGTTATGTGTGATCGACTGGAAGACTTCAGAGAAATCAAAACCATCCCTGCAGAACACTTTTGACAACCCCTTGCAGGTTGCAGCATATATTGGAGCCATAAATCATGATGTCAACTATGACTTCCAGGTAAGCAGGCCTGCGACCTGCCAGGACAGGCAGCAGCACCTGTGTTATTTTCAGTTCTCCCCACTTCCTGACTTGAGGCACGTGCTATCCCTCGCACAGCTCTTGGTAGCATTTGAATGCTTGCCCAGCCTTACATCAGGCTGTGTTCCTGGAGAAGTGCACTCTGAAATAGCTCCATGTCCCTTGCTAATCCTGCTGCTTTTGCAGCAGTAGTATATTGCCATTGGTTTTAAGGAAATTCCTGCTCAGTGGGAACTCTGGGTGCTCAGTGTCTTAGGAAATCTGATGAATTTACGGTGAGAACTCAGCCAGTGGCAGTTGCTTCTGCTTTGTCTTAATTTTGGCTTATGTCCAGAGTGGGAAAGAGGGAGAGAGGAGAAGGAAGCAGAAGAGCATGGAGACAGGGAAGCAGAGGAGCAGCATGTTCCTCACTTCATGTGTTGCTTTATCACCCCAGCAAGCGAAGGACTAAATGATTTGCTTCTCCAGTGTGTTAGGAAACTGTACAGCGCTTTCTTAGAGGAGAAGGATGTGCTCTCAATCAATCGTTTAATCAGTAAATCAGTGTAGGAATATTCTAAAAGACTCCAAAGGAAAGACTCCTACTGCACTTGAGGGATTATTAGTTCTATACAAAGCTGTGAAGGGGGGAAACTTAAAGGAGGAGAGAGAAGGGTAATTCATAGAATACACAAAGGGTTTTCTAGAATAAAAGAGTTAGTATGCATGGACACTTAAGGTGCACGATCCTTATGCAGTGAAATGTGCAGGCTTCTCTTAGTAACCTTCTGCAGCCCTCTGCCTTACTCCTCATGGTTGTTTGGGGTTGGAGTTAGGGCTGTTTGTCAATAATCAGAGATGTCAGGACACACATAAGTCACTTCCTGCTCAGGCCGAAGCTGGAATCAGGTCAGCCTGATCACTCCCTCCCAAGCAAAATCTCATCAGTTGGCAGCAAATTTTACCCATCCCTGAAAGACAAAAATAGACCTCATTGGTCCGTACCCTGCAGTTTCCACTGAGGTCAGTGGGACCTTTGGACTCCCCCTATTTGTGTCTTCCAGGTATTTTATTGGGGTTTCTTGCTCTTTTTTGTTTCCCTATTCTTTGCTATACGTTAAACTGAGGTTTGGCAAGGAAGTCTTGTCTTTGGAAGTGCTGGCTGAAGTGGCACGTTAACACTGAGTTTCTGACAGCATCCTGCTTTCCACCGTAGGTGAGTTGTGGACTCATTGTGGTTGCCTATAAGAATGGCACCCCGGCACATCCACATTTCATGGATCCAGACCTGTGCTCTCAGTATTGGAATAAGTGGCTTCTGCGCCTTGAGGAATACAAGGAAAAAAACTAAGCCACACAGAAATGAACGACTTGAGGACAGAGCCGAAGAACTTTGCTCTGATTTTATCTTCCATTTTAATACATAGCATTTTTTTGAACAACCTTTAAAAAAATATTTGGAACAGTGAATACTTACTTGCCTATTGTAGGTGACTTAGGCAGGGCAACGCAGCCTATATCACCAGTAGGAAAGTTTTTATAAACTGCAGTCAAATTTAAATAAAACTGTTTAATAAAATCATCTGTCTTTGGTCATTTTTGAGAAAAGGATTGCAGAACTGAGACTCTGGAAATTAAACTGCTGATGAACTAAAGCTAAAGAACATTTGTGGTGTCTGAGCGAGAGATGAGAGAAATGAAAACAGACTGGGTTGGCTGGTTGGCTATTAAGCCAGTCTTGCTAACCTCAGAGGTACCTATTAACAGATCTTTAATGTTTGTGATTTTTCTTTCAGCAACAACTGGAAAATCTGTGTTAAGCACCGTAACCAAAGCTCTTGTGAGTAATTGCTGAAAATACTAAAGYAGATTAGCCTTTGAGCAAAAGCAGCTCAGCAAGAGAGGGACAGGGTCGTACCCAGAGGAACTTTGCACCTTAGCCTGGCAGTTCACAGTCACCCCTGTGCAGGGCGGGCCAGTTCTGTGACCCTCTCCAGCGCTGCCCGACTTTGCTGGGCTCTCTGTAGAGCTTAGTGTCTAAAGAGAAGTGGGCAGGCTGGCTGCTGGAGAGACTTGGACCTTTGTCGAGTTTAATCTTCAGCTTTTCTAGGGCCCTAGCTGGAAATCTGTSTGGTAAGACTTGGTTAGATGCAGCAGAATGTGCTTATTCAAACCCTGCTCTGGTGATGGCGTGATTATGCGTAATTTAATGAGACTTCTAACTAAAAGAACGACTCATGTGGAGACTACGCAACTGTGCTCGTAGAGGACTAACTGGATTTGGGACCTTTGAGCACTCAGGAGTCCTACCTGCTTTGTAAGTTGGTCCCCGCTACACCAAATTTTAATAAGTGGGTTGTTCAACATCACTGACCGCTGTTGAAAGGTAACTCCATAGATAAATCAGGACAGCAGGCAGAAGCAGRAGGTGGGTGCCCTGAGCAGAAGCACGAGGTGACAACACGTGGTGAATTTGGGACTCCCGTGCAGCTGGGTGCCCTCCAGTCACTTTGCTCACCCAGGAACATGCCCGACCACGTGCTGAGCTCCACAACCAGTGTCCAGCGTCGTGCTGACGACCGCACTGCAAATGTTTGAGGGGATTCTCYCTGGAACCATTTGCCGAAGCAGAAGGTAACGTTTGTCCTCAGMCAGTTCCGTCCCCAGCACCTTCCCTTTACACCATTCGGTCAGAATGGCACAGCCTCAGAAAACCTCAGCACTAGAATCTTCTAATTTACCTCAGACACCTTCTTTGCCCCATGGACTTTCTATTTATTAAAGTATTCTATAAACCATTCTGGTACATAGGATGACAAGTTTAATCTTTAATCTTTTTAGTATCACTTTATTATCAAGGTTTTCAAGGTCCCAAGCACCCCCAGTTCCATTGAATAAAATAGTAGTATCATTAGAAATGCTTAAAAAAAAAAAAAAAACCAAAAACGAAAAGCTATTCCCCACCAGAGCCCAAGCAGATGTCTGGGTAAGACAGAGGCAAATGGAAAAGAGTTTTGATTTGGACAGACACCCCRAATCTATCGTTTTAAGGATGATTATGAAGGTAGTGGTTGTGGCTCTGAATGTCAGATTGAGTTACTTGGTTTTACCATACACACAACGCAGCAGCACATCTTCCCCAAGCGCACGGCTTAGTTTGGAGCACAAAATGCATCCAGGAGAATTTGTAAGTAAATCTATTCCTTATTATGTACTTAAGTTAATTAGAAACCTGTTTAGCAGCTGTGTCCATTAAGAGACAGACAGACAACGTGTGCTTGGACTGGCATAACTTGAGCTTGTTGAGGACGTTACCACCCCACCCTTGTCCGTCCTAGCACAGCCAAGCGCCCGGGCAGGACTGYAGCAGCTCAGCAGCACCTAAAGCACCCTCAGGTGCCTCAGGAGGTCTCAGCCTCCTCCATTTTATGTTTTTCATCACTAAATCTGCTCTCAGTCCTCCCCATCTTGGTGCTCCTGGGTGCTCCACAGGAGCTGCAGCAGGGATGCAGGTGAATCCTAAAAGCATGGAGCCGTAGGACCACTCATCATCATCACCATCATCGTCATCATCGCCTCTTTGCCTCGTGGCACCGCTTGCACCCAAAGCCTCTGCTGCCACGAGGCAGTGAAAATGAGAGGCCAGAGTCACCCGCACGGGGGTCACACACACAGAGGCAGCTGGAGGCTCCCTCCAAATTGCTTTGTGCTGCTTTGTCRTTTCGGTCAACAGGCACTTGATCGTTCATTAACAAAGAGGAAAAAAGAATCCCAAACTGCACATACGCGCACACACAAACACAGCATAAAATAAACTGAAAACTGCATGTCATCGCGACGGATAATACATATATTCAAGTCATTAGACGTGTTTTCTTTGGGTTTCTGGCTCTGATGTAGATTAAAAGAATGCGTCAGGAATCCCCAGAGCCAGGGTGACAAGCCCAGGAGAGTCAGAGCTAAARTCACATTTAAATCTAAACATGATAAAATATGTTCACAGCTTGAAATACCTCAGAATGAGACCAAAACTCTGCCCTCAAATAACGTCACTACCTGGAAGAGAAAGTGTAGGAGAAAAACTCTGCATCCTTAATTAAAAAGCAAATCTCTTTCAGCTCACCTTGGCTTACAGATCCATAAATCAAGACTTTACTGCCTGGGAGGATAGAGTTGGGATTCACTGTGCATTTAAACTTCATTTACTGTTAATCTGTGCTCCTCTCCCAAAGACCGTTTTAGTGATTTTSTCATCTGAGAATAACACAGAAATAGCTGCTCCTACGTGGCTCCTTCCACCCGAAGCTCCTTGGGATATTGTGTCAAGAAAAGGCGAAATTATCTGCCACGCAGCCAGGTGGTAGAGCTGAAGCAAAAAATGGGTTTCCCTGAAGGCCAGTTCAACAAATTCTCCATGAGCAGGTGACGTGGCCTCTTCCAAGCTTTCTGTTTCTTGAACAAAAAAAGAGATGTTTGCATCACACGTGGGAATAGTTCTTTCAAGTGGAAGTTCTGTCGGAATCAACAGAGTCCTGCTAACAAAGAGCATCCCTGCAATTTCAGGGATTTCTCGCAAAAGTGTTTTTAAAAAAATAATATATAGATATATAGATACATATATAGTTCCTACGTGTAAACTTCATTCCCTTAGACCGCTATAATCCACTGCGTTATTCATCTTTGTCGTCGCCTTTGACGTTCCTCTGCAGGACCGGGCTCAGTTTGTTCTGCAAAACTGCCGCAAGTTTTTTGGAGGTTTTCTTCAGGAAAGCGCTTCCGGGGTGGACGCTGCTAACGTGCAGATATAGGTCCTCCTGCGTAGGGCCCGTGTAGCCGCAGTCTTCGCACACGTACAGTTTATCTCGCCTCTGTTTGTAGGCGTATTGCTGCTGCACGCCGTGGATCTTCTTGAGRTGGGACTCGAGGGAGCAGCGCTGGGTGAAGGCCTTGTTGCAAACCTCRCATTTGTAAGGGCGGATTCCTACAGAGTGAAAAAAAGGCAGAAAACCCTAATTTGGGTTTAAACTCTTGAAACTCATTATAGCCCTCCAGGGAATCAGCAGGGGACAAGGAGCAGCCATAGCAGGTAACTGAGCAAATGCCCAGCAGCACGCGCTACAGCTTCCCCAAGGAAYTGCCTGTCTACATAAAATAAATGCGTTCACGTATTTAGGAACCTAGAAATATTGCAAAGAGACTTCAGTAGATACTGAACACAACGGATGCCCATCGAGGCATCACTCCCGAAAAAGAAACCAGTAGCAGCTCTCGCAAAACGGGATGCTCTAAAGCCCTCTTGGAGCCCCCTCACTCGGCCCGTTCCAGCTCACTTTCCATTTGTCSTTTTCGAGTAACTGAGAACTTCTCTCCCTTCAACTTACTCCTGCAGTTACACCTTCAAGAGAATTGAGATGTCAAAAATACGTGGCTCTGTCTTCAAGGGGGCAGAAAGGGCTGGCTGCTGACCTGCAAGCCTGAACAATTTGAGCTGAGCCAACCAACACCATCAAACACACCAAGGAAGAAGCAGCACCTGCTTTGCCAGAAATCAGCACAGYGTTAACAAGAACAACCACCACACCACCTCCTGATACTTAGCTGGTGAATAGTGGAAGGYTTATTGCAATAAGAAAACTCTTGCCTGCATTTTGCAAGTCTTAAATAAATCAATAAACAGGAGATTAATTCATTCCACTCTATGCTTTCCTTGGGACTTTGGGACCTTTCCATTACTGTGGGAGCTTCCCATTGCTTTGGGATTATCTAAAACTTTGATTTTGCTGCCTATATTATTTTCAAACTCTGCTCACACCACGAAGCACATTGGGTGTATTTGGCTTTTACATTCTCTGATGCCCCCTACTACTCATCCTAGCAAAAAGAACAGGCATGTACCCATGGATGCTTTCATAGGTTCCTCATATCAGCCTGGAGAAGACACGTGCCCAAGCCAGAGGACTGTGCCCTGTGCATTCCCGCACCAAGGAAGACGCCCCTGGATAACCTGTATCCTCCTGAATTACCCTGACCRGGAAAAGCTCCGGACTATCTCCCTGGGCAGGGCAAGCAACACAGAGTGGTTAGGCCTGCTGCTGAGAAACCATGTCCAATGTGAAAGACAAAAGCAAGAAGGAAAAGCCAAGGCTTCACTCAGGAAAACGTGGCTGTATGACAGAGGAGGAAGAGGGAACTCTGGTTTCTCTCAGTCAATTTTGGGGCAATTTTAACCATGGGAGGTCACATCTCCAAGACCTCATTTCCACCCTGTGCAGTATCTACGGCCAGAGCTGCTGAATCTCCCTCTGGGAAGCTGGTAGCTCATGCCACAAGCAGAGAGGAGGGATACTGCAGAGCAACCCCAGATCTTCCATGGGCTTTATAGGAAGCTGGAAATCTGGGAAGCTGGAGAACACTCTGTGCAGGAAACTGCGGCATCTGTGAAAGCCTCAGCACACAGGTCCAGAAACAGCCCCGGTGCCTCCTGTCCTTCCCTGGCTGATTCAGCGTGGGATAAATGGAAGCCGCATGGGATGTCTCGTTTCCACAGAGAAGCTCAAGGCTCAGAAGCAGCTGCGCTCTGATGCCCTCACAGGAGGCCAAAATGCAGCCACAGATGAGCCCACAGAGAAAGACTACCAACAAAAATTAAAAAAAAAAAAAAAAAAAAGAAAGAAAAAAGAAAAACCCTGCTCCTCATTTCCTCTAGAGGGCAAAGCATTTTCATTGCAGGACTCCATGGTACGCACTAAACCCCCGCTAATACCTGGTGGATTATCCCCATGCCACGAGAGCTCCACCAGCCACCCCGGCTCTCCAGTCGGGCTGGCCAAGGCAGCACCCAGGCACGATTACTCCAGATCTGGGCATAAGCTCATCTGGCTTCACATGGATATCGTTAGTCCTCCCCAGATTTCCTTAATTCCAGGAGTTTACCTGCTCACAGGCCCACAACTCTTCTCCTTCACCTTCCCATCACTTCTCGCAAACGTTTCCCCACGTTATCACCCCGTTGGGTCCCCTTCACCCCCCTGCCTTGCTCCCACCTCGCCCCTTCTCCCCAGTTTACACCAAAATAGCCCCCAAGGCCGTGGGCAAAACGCTTGGGCAAAGCGTTCTCACCAGTGTGGGTCCGGACGTGCCTCTTGAGATCAAAGGTGTCGTTGAAGCCCTTGCCGCAGAAGGTGCACAGGTGTCTCTTCACCTGGCTGTGGCACTTGACGTGGCGGTTGAGCATGCGCTGCAGGCGGAAGCCCTTGCCGCACAGCTCGCAGCTGTGCACGGCCGCCTCGCCGCACGTGCCCGTGGTGAACTGCGAGACACAACGGCGCAACAAAAAGGAATGAGGAGGAGGAGGAGGAGGATGGCTCGCTCGCGGCCTCCGGGGAAAAAAAAAAAAAAAAAATCCTCGGGATAAGGTCAAAAGGAGATGTGGGAATATTCAGGAGGGGTTACTCTTCACACCTGCCTTGCAATGAGGCGGCCAGGGCRGGCTTCAGCCTGACGCAGGGCTCCTCGGGGAGCAAGAGGGCCGCGATGCCCAAGGCCGTCATGGTGTGCATGGAAGGGAGCCCAGCTAGGGAGTCTATCTGCTACCGTGTGGCCTTCCTGGGATGCCAGGGCTCGGCTGGTGGCGTTAGGGGGCACCTGTGCTCCAGACGCCTTCCAGAGACATGGACCTAGTCACAATCCCTGCTCAAGCACATGTGCTGAGGCTATGGTCTGCTGTCCTTAGGGCCGCATGGGCTTGGTTTCATGCATTCGCATACTGCCTGGCTTGAGAAGGTTGCTCCAAGGCCAGGAAGGAAGCAGTAAAGGAAGTCCCCTCACAGTCAAAAAGCAKTGGTGGCCACTGCCACCATAAGCAACCCTATGAACACCAACAGCGGAGGGTAACACGCACAGCGCAGGCAGGCAGCCCCCGTCACCCGCCGCCGGCGACACCGGCCCTGCGGACGGGAGGGCACCGCAGCGGAGGGAGCCCYGGCAGAGCTGCTGTTTGCCCGGCGCAGGTGAGTCACGGAGGCAGCTCTGTGCCCGAAGCCCTCCCACGCGCGCCCAGCCAGCTGCCCTCTAGGCTGGCGAAGCGTTTCCACGCTTCCAACTTCACGGTTTCCCAACATGTGGAGGGAAAGCACTGCTCTGTCTTCTTCCCCATGCATGGAAAAGGACCTTTTTCCCTACTGGTGGCCCTGATAAGTCGGCAAACTGTTGGGATCAGGAGAAAACCCCATTGCAGCCCTCTCCAAACCCTAGAAGCGGGCTCCCCAAGGAGGCACCCTGCCATGCAGGACTTGCCTCCTCGCTGCCCGAACTGGTCCGTCCTGCCTGGGCCGAGCTCTCCGGCAGGAGCTGAGCCAACGCGTCCCAGGGACAGCGCGGGCCCTGGGCGCCGGCTTTGGGGCTCCCTCCCCTCCAGGGCGCTCACCTTAATCTTGGAGCGCGCAACGGGGCGCTTGCCGGGYGGCTCGAGCAGCATCGCCCCGGCGGCGGCGGGATGGGCTCCCGGGGGGCCGCCGGCTGCCCCGTCCCCAGTGCTGCCGCCGCTCTCCCGGGCATCTTCGTAGCCGAGCAGGACGCAGCCCAGGCCGCCTGCGGAGCGGGAGCGGGCGCGGGAGGAGGAGGAGGAGGAGGTGAGGGCGAGGGGGGGAGGAAGAGCGCGGCGAGCGGGACAAGCCGCGGCTCGGCGCTGTTTGAGCTGCGGGCGGGCCCGGGGGCGGCTCCGCGGCTCCCGCCGCCGTCGGAAACTCAAACACGAGCCGGTCCCAAAGTTCAAACAGCTCCAGCGCCGCCGCCTTCCCGTTATACCCGGGGCAAGGGCAGGCCGGGAGGAGGGGGGGCCGCCAAGGGGACCCCCCCCCGCCCCCCGCTTTCTCATCGCGAGCCTTTTCCTTCTCCCCCCGCCCCCGGCTTTTCTCATGCAAACGACGTTTCCCACTTTTGCGGCCCGGGGGGTCGGGGGTCGCAGGGCTGGGGGGGAGGCGGCAGCGATCCCGTTAAGCGGGGGGTGCTCTGTGTGTGTGCGGGGGTGTCCCCAAAACGGACCTCGCGGTTGGGTGCCCCCCCCCCCTCACCCTCCGCGCTTAGCACAAGCGCGGCGGCCGCGTGCGCTCCCTCGGGGCCGCCCCGTATCCCGGGGGAAAGGGGTGAGGGGAAAAGGGGTTGGGAATGGGGGGGTTGGGGGAATAGGGGGGGTGCGGGCAGACCCCCCCTCCCGTCCCATGCCGTGCCGTCCCGCCGGGCGCGGGCGGGAGCCTCACCTGGGATGTAGGTGTCGGCTCGCTCCTCGTCGGGCAGCGCATCCCAGCGGCGCGGGGCGGGCTGCGGGCTGCGGCGCTTCAC